GAATATATAAGTTAACCATAAACAAAGTGGCAAAATATACAACTAGCAACCTAACTGATCAAGTGACATAAAACCTAAACCACAAACTATAATACAGTATATACAAACAAAAAGGGAAGCAAGGATTGACAGGGTGAGACTGGAGGTGCAAGGAACAGTCAGGAAGGGGAAACCAGGACAGGGATCAAGAACAAGGTGCAGCTATGAGTTAGCAGGGTTTATAGGATACAGGTACAGGGCAGGAGCAGGATCCGGACTCAGACATCCATCCCATGCAATGGTTGTGCAGAAACATGCGAGCAATGATGGCTCCTCTCAGTCTGTTTCTGCTCACATACACCTGTATTTCTGACCACAACAATCCACTGATTCCTGCCACTGGTATCCAGTGTTGGCATGCAATTGCCTGTGTGAAGGAGGCCCTATTCTGTTCAGCCACCCTTGTGGTAGAGACAGTAGTAAACACGGCAAATATAGAGTCCGTTTAAGCATTTTATTTTTTTTCATACATGTCAAAAAGACAAACCAACAAGTAAATCATTACACCTCTAATATTGGATGTTTTACCCCCAATTGAGTCTAGCAATCCAGCATATAAACAAGCTGCCTATGCTTATAATGAAGGAGAAATCCATCTGATGCTTTTGAAATGCATTGACTTGTATGAAGAAATAAAATGCTAAAGAGTATATTTGGCGTGGTGCTCCTCTTCTTTTACATGGTCTATAGTCTTCACCTCGAGCCACTTCTAGAGCACAAGCTGCCTCAGGACAGACAATTCTTTCTTTAGAAGAAACCATCTAAACACCTTTTTTTAGGTAATTTTTTTTTTTCTTCCATTGCTTTCAACTAAATATGTTTTCATTATTGACCTCTCCTTTGTCCACTGCATTTAAGTAATACTACTTGGCCAGCACCCTACAGCCTGTTGGCTGGATAATGAAATCACCATAGTCCATCTCCTTCTGATAGCAGGTAGCAGACATAAAATATACAAAACACAAGAACAAAACCTAAAAAAAGAGTTTTAAAACATTAACAATAATAGTAATAATTATATTTTCTGTTATTAACTAATTATTATTGATAAGACTTGTGTTCATAAAAAAGCATTAAAGGGTTAGTCACCTTTGCCAAAAAACTGCCTATGCAGGTAAGGGGTATCTGTAGATATAAACAAACTGTGCAGCTCTGATCAAAGATGACTAATGCCCTTGCTATAGGTTTTGGCTATTTACATACTGCCCCCCAAGCCAGACTGGAAAAAATTCCAAAGATGGCATCACCCTGCTTTGCCATGGGGCTAGAATGTTGATAAGACACTGCCAGCTGTTTCAATCCCTTTGCATGCGCTTTCCCCTGTCACAGTAGCACTGAGCTCAGCTCATGCTGTGATGGAGGAGATGGTGGCCTACACATGTGAGAGGGTTTGAGAGCCCACTCCTGTGATAGTGTGGGTAAGTAGTAACGACCAGGGGCGGACTGACAACTCATGGGGCCCCCGGGCAATAGGGGATCATGGGGCCCCTGTGTCTTTGCCCAAACTCAAAAAAAGCCTATGAAAAAGGTACCAGGGGCTTCTCATGGGGCCCCCTACGGACCCCGGGCCCTCGGGCAGTGCCCGAGTTTCCAAATGGTCAGTCCACCCCTGGTAACGACTGGGAGTGTCTTGGCAACAAGGCAGAAAAGGAGGATGCTATCTCTGGGTGTTTTCAGCCAGGCTTCAGAAAGTAGATAAACGACCTACATCTATAGCAAGGGCATCATCCAACTTTAGTTAAAGTGTTCTGCAGACTCCTGTGAACAAAAATAAAAGTCGGCAGCTACAAAAACTGTAACTGCTGACTTTTAAAAGACCGTTACTCACCTGTCTCACAATCCAGCAGTGTGCTTACCCCAGATGGGTTCACCTGCCGTCTTCTGCCCCCAGCGCCAGCATCCTAACTGTGGGCACCCGGCTGTGACAACTTGTGGCTTCATAGCCGAGTGTCCACTGTGCTTGTGCTAGCAGCACTGCACATCGTGAAAGGTCTCGCAGTCTTTTGGGACCTGCCACGTTTCCCAGGGAGGGAAGAAAGTGGGGAGGAGAACTTCCGCGACTGATCGCCTAGGCGGTTGGAGCAGAAGTGGGAGCAGGTATGTGTCAAAATCAGGTACCTGCTCCCCAAAGGTGCCACTTATTCACAGGGAGCGGAGGAGGAGTCCATAGAGTGAACTTCCCCTTTTGGGTAGAGTTCAGCTTTAAAGATGCAGTTTGTTTTTATCTACAGGTGCCCTTTACCTGCATAGGCAGTTTTTGGTAAAGGTGAACTAACCCTTTAAGTACTAAATTCCCTATAACTATTATTAAATCACTTACGTGTCATTTAATAGTAAACAAAAATAAAATTGCCAAATTAGAGTAAAGCCATGTAAATTATATATTTTTTTTAGTTTTAGTTCTGCCATCTAATTTGCGCCATGGAAATAAGTAACAGTTTTCAGAAGACTAGTGCAATATTTAACATTTTAGTCAGCTGTTAAAAATTAATATGCGAGATTCCAGATTTCATTTTATTTTATTTATTTTTTTTTCATTTTGTATCATTAACAAGACAAGCTGTTTCATTGGCAAAGAACTCAATATCTAAGCTGGCACAGGCAGTCCTTAATTGGTTATTTATTGGATTGGTTTAAAGAATTGTATAATTTGAAATAGAGAAAACTGTTTAATACTTGTTTCTGGGCCTTATGCTCTTTGACCTAAAATACAAGCACTTTTTTTAACCTTTGTAGAAATTAAGCTTGTGTAAGCTCGAATCCCAAGCAGATGTTGGGTATAAATCCTGTTCGTGTTTTGTAACACAGGTCATTTGAGGTGTTATTTCAATTCTTTCTTTGACTAATATACTGTGTTAATTGTTCAGTGCTGTCTGTAGAGGTGCTGTCTATTGTAACGAACCTGATTTATTGGGAAACAGCTTCCCATTTTCCTTCATGCTTGGCTCTAGTCTTCATAAATTTGCATTTATAGCATTAGGCTGCACTATAAGGACAGGCATTTGTGGACACTTGACTGTCACACATATATAAAAACTTGTTGGATATTCCATTCCAAATTCATAGACATTATATTATATACACATTCCATTCACTGAATAGCTGCTCTGCAACAAGTATTCAGATATTAAATATGCCAAAAAATCATTGCTTGCACTTTAAATAAAATAAAAAAATTTAAGTAATAAGTGTCCAATAAAAGTCCTTGAAATTAAACGTGGTATTCTGTATTCTTATACACCCCATATGCTCCAATAATAAATGAATAAATGTCCCACTCTCCTGTGTCCAAAGCAAACATTCCACACTCACCAGACTAATTTGACCCCTTGTACAAACAAGAAAGTCTAATTGCGCTTGTTGATGTTACATACACCACTGGACAAGAGATGAAAGCCAGAAACACTAAGCAGTCAGAGAGATTGCTTGGAAATGCCATTTCCAATGTCACTCCAACTGGTTCCACCTTGTCTCTTTGGGTCCCCTTAAAGCCATCGAACACTCCTCGCAGGGACATTCGGAAGAAAAGGAGAGGCCTCCCATAGTTTAAAAAAGTTCATTACCTTCAAAAATCGCTAAAATCGCACTTACACCATAAAATATGAAGCCTGGTATTCATTGAGATACCAACATGAGAACCAAAAGTGCAGCTGGCTCCCCAGCATATGTTCCAACAAAGCAGAAGTGACATACCTGATGTCCCGCTCTACGTTTCTCATCATTCATGTGCGACATCCTCACGAGCAAGTATTCAGATAACGTTTGGACTTTTTCCCCAATTATCATACCTGATCTACATACTCGTATAAAGAAGCAAGGGTCAGATTTGTGGTCCTGCCTCTTTCAGCTGTTTTCTGTGTCCTTCACCCACACATTTAACTAATTAACCTTAGTTAACACTCGGGGTCGAATTTCCTTCACTGGATCCTGTATTTGCTTGGCCTTTAGCACCTGACTAGGAACACCCTTCTACAAAGAACATATTCCTGTTTGAGGCCTGGTCCACACTACACGCAGGGTGCAGGCTGGTTATGGGTCCAGGAATCGTACATGTTCCTGCAACCAAATAGCTTTTCTCTTGCAAGACCCGCAGGGGTGCCACTCATTCTGAATGGCACCCCCACATATCTCATCCCCGCAACATGATCTCTGGTGCAGGAACTACATGGTCAAAAAGACCATGTGGTTTTCCCTGCGGATGCATTGTGGAAAAAGTGCACCTTTTCCTTGCATGAAACAGGCACAGCAGCCCATGAAAATGAATGGGCAGCCATGCCTGAGCAAATGACAGTGACACGGCCCACACTATTGTGAAGCAAACCTTACTGATTCTAGCCTAGTTTGGGGTATTGTGGCATTGCATGAATACATTTATATGAGATGAGTGTATTTCTGTAGATGATTGGATAAATATTTGGTCAGCTAGCTCTGCAGGTAACAGTCCCATTGTGCCTAAATGCATATCTGGGCCTAATATGACAAGCAGGGGTGGACTGACCATTTGGAAACTCGGGCACTGCTCAAGGGCCCGTGGTCAGTAGGGGGCCCCATGAGATGCCCCTAGTACCTTTTTCATAGGCTTTTTTGAGTTTGGGCTAGGACACAGGGGCCCCATGAGTTGTCAGTCCGCCCGTGATAACAAGACATCATAGCCTCGCAAGATACCCCAAGGCTCGGGCTGGAATAGCTAAAGGACAGTCTCGCCACCCAACATAATGACACTTTGAACCAATCAATAGAAAATTAGGCATATTGTTCCCTACTTCAGCTTTTAAAAGACTTGGGGATGAAGCAGTTGTCTTGGGTGTGTGAGGTGGATGGATTTACAAGGATAAAGGTGATTTGCTCCCTGTTTGAGTAACAAATAAATGTTGTTATTTACAAATGTTTTAGTCATTTTGAAAAAGCTTGTCCTTTTTTTTTTCTTTTTTTTTTTGTCTTTGTTTTCACTTTTTCTGCAGGATGGACAAAGTTTGCCCGGTTAACTCGTGCTTTAACGAACAGCCGCAGTGTTCTACAGCAGCTGACTCCTATGAACAAAACAGAAGTGGTCCACAAACATTCCAGATTAGCAGAGGTAAGAAGCTCTTGATTTTTTTTTTTAACAATGACATGAAATTTGCAAATGAAGATTTTTCCATTCTGCTGGGTGCCGTATTCATAGCGGTCTAAGCAAGGGAGTTGGGAAGAGGTATTGTAATAAGGATATAGTAGGTAAGCTGACACTGTTGGTTCAGATCCTTGCCCAGTGGCTGTGCTGATTTAAATGTTGATCCTAGAACCTCCCTAGCATCAATAGAAATAAGCAGCATGTACTGTACTAGAACTTTAGGTGGGGTCATGGAAACATTTTTTGGGTATAAGACTTTCTGCTCAAGACTTTAGAGTTCTTGACTACTGAGGAACGAGTGTAGACATTATATAATAATAGTTTTACCTAGATAATGACCAGGAAACATTAATTTGTGGAAAGAGCAAGGCCACAGATTTATTCGCTATTGTCATTAAACTTAATCACAAAACCCATCCCATTTACATGTATATTTGGCACAGCTGAACAATCTTAACACTTGCCTAAAGTGGAACCATACTTACCGAAAAAAAGAAGGCAGGCTTTTTTTGCATAAGAGATGTGATGTGTCTCTTCTGCTATAAAACAAATGTACCCACTTGTTCACAATCTTCTTTCGAATGTACACTAATCAGCTTAGCATACATTCTCCACATACCACAGTGGTGCCGGAATTAATGACTCCTGCACGCAAGTATGGGATCACGGCATCCCTCAAAATCCAATCAAGATGGTTGAAACCCAGCACCCCCAATAAGCCAAAAAGAAGATGTCCTCACCCCATGAGGGATCTCATTAATTTGAAGGAGGTAACAATCTGTGGACTTTAGTTCCGTTTTAAGTGCCTGTCCTGACCTTTAGTGCTGGACAGGCATGTGACTCCCCCAACAAAGACATAACTATGAGCAATAATACAAAAACTAGCATGGTAACAACTGCCATTAAATCTGTGAAAACAGGGCAGGTGGGGATCAGAAACAGATGGCTGGCTCAGTTTCTGTGACCAAAGAACTTGACTACATAGGTTCTCTAAGCTCGCCATACACTAATGGAAATTCTGCTGGTTCAGCAGGGACCGGCCGAATTCTGATGAGTGTGTGCCAGTCCACTCTTGAGAGGTGTTGATCATTTGATTGACTTCTGTTGAGGGGACATGTTGCATATTAATTCTGCATGAAAGAATAAGGAAGAAATTCCAAAGAAAATATCAACACAACATAGACACCAATACAGTGAAAGTGTTCTGTGGATCTATAATGTTTTTTCTGTTTGCTAATCTTGCACCTAATCTGAAGCTTTTGAAACCTATTTTTGCATGTGTATGCCCTGGCAGCAGTCGATCATTGAAAATGTATCTTGATCGGCAGCTGTAGCCAATATTCAGTGTTCTGGTGGGGGAAGATTACTCCATCAATCTAGTTTGTGTGGATGGAGAAATTTAGAATTGTATGCCCAGCCTAACCTCACATCCACAAACCATTCATGCCAAAAGTAGGCAGAAACATTTCAAAATATTTAATCACCCATAAAGTGACAAGTAGAGATGAGCGAATCGAACCAGGCGAAGTGGAATTCGTTTCGAATTTCAGGAAAAATTTGATTCGCGGCGAATCCGAATATTAGCATACTTCGGGTGCGCGAATCGGATTTTTCCCGATCAGCCGGCAAAAGTGTCCCTGCAGAGACCTCCGCTATTTCTGACAGTTCTCTGACAGTTCCTTCACATGTACAGCGGTTGAAACATTGTATCTATTTGTTTCCATTTAGGATACAGATGTTTTTATTCGGAAATAGATACAATGTTTCAACCGCTGTAAATGTGAAGGAACTGTCAGAGAACTGTCAGAAATAGCGGAGCTCTCTGCAGATACACTTTTTGCTGTACTGGAATACTTCTTCTTTTCATTCTTCTTTTCATTCTTCTTTTCATTCTTCTTTTCATTCTTCTTTTCATTCTTCTTTTCATTCTTCTTCTCATTCTTCTTCTCATTCTTCTCATTCTTCTTCTTTTCATTCTTCTTTTCATTCTTCTCATTCTTCTTTTCTTCTCATTCTTCTTCTCATTCTTCTTCTCATTCTTCTTCTCATGAAGAATGAAAAGAAGAAGAAGAATGAAAAGAAGAATGAAAAGAAGAAGAAGAATGAAAAGAAGAAGAAGAATGAAAAGAAGAAGAAGAAGAAGAATGAAAAGAAGAAGAAGAATGAAAAGAAGAAGAAGAAGAAGAAGAATGAGAAGAAGAAGAAGAATGAAAAGAAGAAGAAGAAGAATGAAAAGAAGAAGAAGAATCTTTTCATTCTTTTCATTCTTCTTTTCATTCTTCTTTTCATTCTTCTTCTTTTTTCATTCTTCTTCTTCTTTTCATTCTTCTCATTCTTCTTTTCATTCTTCTTCTTCTTCTTCTTCTTCATTCTTCTCATTCTTCTTTTCATTCTTCTTCATTCTTCTTTTCATTCTTCTCATTCTTCTTCTTTTCATTCTTCTCTTTCTCTTTCTTCTTTTCATTCTTCTTCTTCTTCTTCTTTTCATTCTTCTTCTTCTTCTTCTTTTCATTCTTCTTCTTCTTTTCATTCTTCTTCTTCTTTTCATTCTTCTTCTTCTTCTTTTCATTCTTCTTTTAATTCTTCTTCTTCTTCTTTTCATTCTTCTTTTCATTCTTCTTCTTCTTTTCATTCTTCTTTTCATTCTTCTTCTTCTTTTCATTCTTCTTTTCATTCTTCTCATTCTTCTTTTCTTCTTCATGAAAAGAAGAATGAAAAGAAGAAGAATCATTCTTTTTTTCATTCTTCTTCTTCTTTTCATTCTTCTTCTTTTCATTCTTCTTTTCATTCTTCTTCTTCTTCTTTTCATTCTTCTTCTTCTTTTCATTCTTCTTCTTCTTTTCATTCTTCTCATTCTTCTTTTCATTCTTCTCATTCTTCTTTTCCTTCTTCTTTTCCTTCTTCTTTTCATTCTTCTTTTCCTTCTTCTTCTTTTCATTCTTCTTCTTTTCATTCTTCTCATTCTTCTTCTTCTTTTCATTCTTCTTCTTCTTCTTCTTCTTTTCATTCTTCTTCTTCTTCTTCTTTTCATTCTTCTTCTTCTTCTTCTTTTCATTCTTCTTCTTCTTCTTCTTTTCATTCTTCTTCTTCTTCTTTTCATTCTTCTTCTTCTTCTTTTCCTTCTTCTTTTCCTTCTTCTTTTCCTTCTTCTTTTCCTTCTTCTCATTCTTCGTTTCTTCTTCATGAAAAGAAGAATGAAAAGAATAAGATTGAAAAGAAGAAGAAGAATGAAAAGAAGAAGAATCTTTTCATTCTTCTTCTTCTTCTTCTTTTCATTCTTCTTCTTCTTTTCATTCTTCCTTTCATTCTTCTTCTTCTTCTTTTCATTCTTCTTCTTCTTTTCATTCTTCTTCTTCTTCTTCATTCTTCTTCTTCTTTTCATTCTTCTTCTTCTGAGGATGAAGAAGAAGAAGAAGTAGGATGAAAATAAGAAGAATTCCAAGCCGGCAAAAAGTGTATCTGCAGAGCTCCTCTATTTCTGACAGTTCTCTGACATTCACATTTACAGCGGTTGAAACATTGTATCTATTTGTTTCCATAAATGGAAACAAATAGATACAATGTTTCAACCGCTGTAAATGTGAATGTCAGAGAACTGTCAGAAATAGCGGAGCTCTGCAGATACACTTAGCGGAGCTCTGCAGATACACTTTTTGCCGGCTTGGAATTCTTCTTATTTTCATCCTACTTCTTCTCTTCTTCTTCTTCATCCTCATCCTCAGAAGAAGAAGAGGATGAGGATGAAGAAGAAGTAGGATGAAAATAAGAAGAATTCCAAGCCGGCAAAAAGTGTATCTGCAGAGCTCCTCTATTCTGCAGATACACTTAGAGGAGCTCTGCAGATACACTTTTTGCCGGCTTGGAATTCTTCTTATTTTCATCCTACTTCTTCTTCTTCTTCTTAATCCTCATCCTCATCCTCAGAAGAAGAAGAAGAGGATGAAGAAGAAGAAGAAGAAGGTAGGATGAAAATAAGAAGAATTCCAAGCCGGCAAAAAGTGTATCTGCAGAGCTCCGCTAAGTGTATCTGCAGAGCTCCGCTAAGAAATAGCGGAGCTCTGCAGATACACTTTTTGCCGGCTTGGAATTCTCCTTCTTCTCATCCTTCTTCTTCTTCTCATCCTTCTTCTTCTCATCCTTCTTCTTCTTCTCATCCTTCTCCTTCTTCTCATCCTTCTCCTTCTTCTCATCCTTCTCCTTCTTCTCATCCTTCTCCTTCTTCTCATCCTTCTCCTTCTTCTCATCCTTCTTCTTCTTCTCATCCTTCTTCTTCTTCTCATCCTTCTTCTTCTTCTCATCCTTCTCCTTCTTCTCATCCTTCTCCTTCTTCTCATCCTTCTCCTTCTCATCCTTCTTCTTCTTCTCATCATCCTTCTTCTTCTTCTCATCATCCTTCTTCTTCTTCTCATCATCCTTCTTCTTCTTCTCATCATCATCCTTCTTCTTCTTCTCTCATCATCCTTCTTTCTCATCTTCTTCTTCTTCTCCTTCTTCTTCTTCTCATCATCCTTCTTCTTCTTCTCATCCTTCTTCTTCTTCTCATCCTTCTTCTTCTTCTCATCCTTCTTCTTCTTCTCATCCTTCTCCTTCTTCTCATCCTTCTCCTTCTTCTCATCCTTCTCCTTCTCCTCCTTCTCATCCTTCTCCTTCTCCTTCTTCTCATCCTTCTCCTTCTCCTTCTTCTCATCCTTCTCCTTCTTCTCATCCTTCTCCTTCTCCTTCTTCTCATCCTTCTCCTTCTTCTCATCCTTCTCCTTCTCCTTCTCCTTCTTCTCATCCTTCTCCTTCTCCTTCTTCTCATCCTTCTCCTTCTTCTCATCCTTCTCCTTCTTCTCATCCTTCTCCTTCTTCTCATCCTTCTCCTTCTTCTCATCCTTCTCCTTCTCCTTCCTCATCTCCAAGGGCATTTAAATTAAAGGTACAGTATTCTGCACTAATATAAAGGCTCTCTGAAGCCTAGAAACCCT